ACCATCACACGGCTTTCGTTGCGCGATGGTTGTAAGGTAATTAAAATCTCGTACGATCTGCCCATATTGGACAGGCAGATCGTACTTGCGATCATCGATGATTCGAATGCTGAGCGGGCAGTGCGCGATTGCGCACACCAGCCCACTCGGCATTTGTCTCCCGAGCTTGCCACTAACCCGCCGAAAATCGTACGATTCTCGGCGGGTTTTCCGGCGTACTCGGAAGACAAAAGACGTGTGACCGTACAGTAGCAACTGTCGCACGCCTTCAATACACCTGCCGATTACTGTACAATTGCGGTATCACCCACGATTATCGTACGATAATCGGCAGGTGTATGGCCACCTTGAGGGTGACTTCTAAACAGTTTTCATAGCGAATGAGATTAGCAGCACATTATGACAAGTAGATGGACCAGGAGAAGCAAATTAATTTCCTCTGCTCCATCTAGCACTGCCAATTTCATTTGCATAGCTGTTCGCTGTGGGAATTGTTTATAGATCAACCCCAAATCAGTGTGCTCTCGAATTGTCTTTTTATTGTCAAGACCTGAAAAGTGGTATGTAAGAATACCACCGACTCATCTAAAGAAGCTTACTTTTTCTTAGCTATACAGAAATGTCCTATAAAGCACTAAACCTATCTAAAAAAATTGATTACTAAATGAAAATATTTCTACTACAAAATAACCTACTATTTTATCTGAAGCAGGGGTGCCCACAATTTTTTGTGTTAAGATCTACTTTTCAAATGACGAGCTACATGAGATCAACGAAAAAAACCCTCCCTTGCTCTCTCTTTCCTGGCAGTCTCTCCTTGCTCATCCTCCTCTCTCTCCTGGCTGTCATTCCTTGTTTTCTCTCCTCGCTCTCTTGGCTGTCTCTCCTTTCTCTTTCCCCTTGCTGTCTCTCCTCTCTCTCTCTTTCCTGGCAGTCTCTTCTCTCTCTCTCTCTTTCCTGGCTGTCTCTCCTTGCTCACCTTGCTGTATTTTGCAAACAGTGCAGTGCAACAAACTGTGTAAACTAATATTCTTTGATGTAATACATAGCACTTCAACCACCAGTATCCACCAGAAAGGTGTCAGGGAGCTTGGCTCAGCAGACTCAGGCTAATAGGTAATCATGTGTGCACAGCTAAATAAATATACCAAAATGGAATAAAAGGGCCACCATTCACACCCTTCGTGATCTACCAGCATCAGCTTTGAGAGCTACTGGTCGATCACGATCTACCTAATGGGCACCCCTGATCTAGTGTATTTACACTTTTGCAGTCAAATTTAGGAAAACCCCTCCATATGTTCGTTATCTGTTCCTATTTACACAGCATACAGAAATATAACTTTGAAGAAAAAAAAAATCTAGCCTTTTACATGTTTTGTTAAATCAGGCAAGATGGCCAATTCCAGGTTTTTCTTAGCCCTTTCACAGTTGTCTGTCCTAATGGAAGGTCTTGGGACTGAAATTTTAAGATTGTGTTTATCTGATAAGCTTCATTAACATACAATGCACAGGCCACCTCACCCATCACAGCCCCTCCTTACATTTAACAGAAATAGAAGCACAACAAAATCTTAGCCCATTAAAACCCTAACCCAATAAAAACAATTAAAACTGCCGAAAGCATTTTTTTTTCTTAGCTTATGCTATGTGAATAGGAACATGAAACAAATATAAAATAGGCGTTATCCCAATTTGGCTGCAAAACTAGACATACACTTTAAGCGGTTTCAAACGTCATTGTATAGTTTTGGAGGCTTTGGTGAGGTACATTTGAGCGAACAACTTTCACACATAAGATAACCAAGTCTTGTTAATTTGAAAAACACTATGTAACTTACCAACCACTTCATCCAGGTACCTTAACAGTTTTGGGCATCTCCAAAGCACCTGGCTCTTGCCCACATTTCCACAAAAACAAAATGATCCTCTTAGACCAGCTGAGTATAGTGACTTGGGTATATGCGATAACCTATATAGTTGTGTTCTACAATGCTAAAAAAAAGACTTTCATTGACATTCTTGTCAATTGATATGTTTGAGAGGCTTTTAAGATCACTCAGCATTCATTGACATTTGGAAAAACCAGTTACAAAGGATCCATAGAGTTTCTATCAGAATCCTTGTTAGATTTTACTTCCAAGATGAACTCTCAAAATGTACAATATATTTTAAAAGCGTAAATGTATATGGAATTTGTGTTGGGGCATAAGAAAACAGAAAATCGAGACATCCAGATTATTGTTCATTAAATTTATACCTACTAGACACTACCAACCAACTCAATTACACCTAATGTGAATATTTTCCAATAAGAGTATGTATTTAAGAGGTGCAAGTCAAAAGAAAATGCAGAGATATTAATATACAGGAGTTAATTGTTATTGCCATTTTCAGAGTGTTCCCAGGAAATGTGAAGGGCATAATGAACATACAATGACAGGTTTTGTTAATGATGCCCTCATTAAAATCCACTTACATATACTTTTGGTAAATCTGATAAAGAGTAAGGGGATCTACTCTACTGCATAAAGCAAAAATCATAATTAATGTTCCAATCTGGCCACACCTCACTATCAAATGCCTTAACTCTACCTTAGGTGGAGATAGCTGTTGCTCAAATTGTCTTCCCTCACCTCAATAAGGGAAGGTTAAAGTGTTCTGTGGTCCAGTAGGCGAGAACACACAGAGGGCTAAAAACATTGCTTTGTATTTCAGTTCAACAGAGGCAGACTTGTCAGCACAATGGATTCTGGTAGGATCATCAGATACTTTTCTGTACGTTCAGCACTTTAAAGCAGCAAAGAGAAATCTGCAATAATGTACTGCATTTTTTGCCCAGACATACACTTTAGGATATGTCTTATAAGCACTAGCAACTTAGACATCTGTAAGAAAATTGGTTTATAACATTCATACCTGGAATATTCTGGCTCCCGGTATAAGCAAACAAGAAAAACAGTTCTGTTCCTCATCTTTGTACACACTATTCAACAGGATTTTTAACCCTTATTTTCTAGTTTTGTGCAACAGCCATTGAAAATGAAACCTTGTCTTGTAAGAGTGTCAACATTATATTTCTGTCATACATAGAATTATGTAAGGAACCAGTTTTCTCTGATGCGTATTAAGATGTTGTCTTCTAAAACCTGTAGAACCCAATATACCTCAAGTACCCAAGGTTGCACATCTATAGGTGCACTTTATCATAACTATAGAGGGGTTACTCTGTTGGACTCTGGCAAAAGAGCCAAGGATAATTACTAAGGGACAAACCTATTATAAAGAGAGAGAAAGATCATAGGTTAGGAGGTCTCAATCTCCAAATACACTGCCAACCCAATTTCTAAACGAATCTGCCGCTTAGACAGGGGTGAAAACCAGAGTTGCAGAGTGCTAACCAAGGACTTCACAAACCCTAGTCTATTCAGTTCTAATCTGTCACATCTGCTGCTCCAGGTATATTCTAATGATTACACTTATGTACCAATTACATTGCTTATTCAATACACTAATCAACACAAAAATTGGTGTTCCTGTTCCTGCTGATCCCCATCTTTTTACACTTTATTAAGCAGGAATTTCTTTAACCCTTCTTTTTTGATTTTGTGCAACGACCAGTGAAAATGCAAATACCAAGGGCCGTAAAAAGGAGTAAATATAGGATAACAACCGATTAAAACAAAGTATTTTTTTAAAGAATGAAGAAAAATAAAATGGCTTCAGTCTTGATTTCAGCTTTTTATAAAGGAATAACAATGCACATCCCTACCAACACACAGATAAAGAGATTTTATACAAGACATTGAACTTGGAGAGAAATCAGTCCCCTACTTCTACTTGGATTGCATTGTCCTTTACAATGTGCACTTTTCAAACATCTCAACACCTCCATCAGTTTACGTTTTCTTTCATTTCAGTAATTATTTTGTTAACTAGAAAAAAAGGGCTCAGACTATAGAACAAACACTTATAGTACATAACAGAATGGGATCGCAAAGCCAAATAACAAATTCACTCATTATTAGTAAAATACGTTTGTAGTTAGTGTGGGGCAAAATCTGTCATGGGTTATTTGCTACAACTATGGCTTATTTATGCCTGGACTTCTGGTACAAATAACTTGCTACTCAATATTAACAGTCTATTATCCTAAAGATTTCCACAGACCCAAGAACACGTGGTGAAAAATCATAGCACAGGCTGGTAGAACCTGAAAATTGATTAGACCAGAATCTTAAAGCAGTGGATGGGAAGACTGGGTTCCTGGTGGAGCCATCTACACACACACACTTACCTCCCATACCCCTCCATTCACTGCTTGATGTAATAGCATTCTTCAATGCTGAGACTCCTGAGATCCATATGCAGAGTTAAAACAAACCACAGACACGAGCAATATTTGATTTATTTTATTTTAAAACCAGTTTTATTTGTATATTTAGAAATGTGTAATTTTTTTTAATAACTGCAAAGAAAAAAAAAAATAATAATCAGCCACACGTGAAGAACTAATATAGTTGATTAGGAGAATGCAGTGCTGTATCTTCTACTGAAACCGTGCGTATGTGCCATAATAAATTGTCTATTAGTAAAAAAATACATTTTAGGGCACATTATACAGAATCCTTATCACAAATTGCAGCAGGGATACTTTAAAGATAATAAACTAGAGAATTCTGAGGAGTTATGCTCAGCATTTATAAAGATAGCAATTTTTGTGCATTTCGCTTCAAAATGTTCTTGTGGTGAGTACTGTAGAAATGCGCTTTATTGCTGCAGATGTTACAAAGTTCAAGGCTCAAAAAAGGTATGAGTACAAAGGTATCCTTAAGAAACGTTCAGTTTTCTTTTTCTTTTTTCTTTTTTTACAAAAAGTAAAGCTTAAAAAAGTTAAATTTACAAAAAGAAAAAACAAAAAAAGAAAAACAAACAAAAAAATAAACAAAAGCAAAAAGTGGTATGCACGCAATTTATATACAGGCATTGTAACATCTTTGAGAATTTCTTTTAAATGCATAGCAGAAAACATACAATTTCCTTCAGTATCTTCCGGGTTGACAGCAGAGGTAATTTCTTCCTTGCTAGGCGGCCGCAAAATGAGTTCACAATAAAATCATATTTTCAGCAATCTTTCTTCATTATACATTACCCTATATAAGCGCAAAAAGCCATATGAACTTCATAGAACAGAGAACTAGGAAACAAAGACTATTATAACATGAGGGTAAGGCATCCCTGCTGGTTAAATGTGTGTAGTAAATGGTTAATTTACAGATTCATAGAAGCACCAGAACCACAGTCAACCTTGTAAACCTTGTAGTTGCAAATGGGTCCACAGTTCATGTTCAGGCCCCATTCAGCATTGGGGAGAAAATAAATTATATTTTTACTGAACTATGCGGTGGGCTGGGTATTGAGCACAATCATGGCATTTAGTATTTTAAATAAAGTATTAACATTCAAACCTTTGCTGCTGGAGAACACCTGACAATAGTTTTAGCTATCTCCACAGCAGAGTTATGAACAAAAATGATTGACTGGTAGATCCATCATACCTAACACATCTTGGAGTTCTGGTGCAGATGCTAGTCGATAAAAAGTAAAAGTGCTAGTCTTTGCTATCAAACTCAAAAAGAAAAACACAAGCAGTATCCTTCTGTGACAACGGGCGACCGTTAAAAGTATCATTCTGGGAAACTGGATTTATTTTAGTGTTATCAGGATTGGTCCTTTGGAGACAAACTAAAGCAACTGAAAGGCATTTGTTAAGAGAGACACTGAAGGTGCGACATTGGTATGACCTTCATATGTCATGTCTGAGGCCCATATTTTGACCATGGCTTTAAAGTCTACTCCGTAAAACGCAAGTTCAGGCAAAATTCATAGCACTAACAAGTCCCATTGTTATTTAACGATCAAATAATACTCAATAGGATGTGTAAAGATAAACAGGTCCAAAGCAGGTTTCACATTATTCTGATCTTTACACTGTAGGCTTAAAAGTGATCTATCAATACAGAGACACAATTTGCTCCAACAAGATAGTTAGGGTCACCAGGAAGTGATTTGTTCTGCCAGTGTTTGGGGTCACCTGTAGGTATATAGGGGAAAACAAAGGAGAGGTTAGTCTTTGGTCAAACATATTAAAACACAGCAAGTTTCCAAACGCCATGGTGTACAAACTACATTTATCAGCTTTTGAGGATTTCTTTTTTTCAACACATGTACGGCTCTTTATATTTTCTTTCATTAATGTTTGCTAGATGGTAAAATACAATAGGAAATGGCAAAACCAAGTAATGCAGACATACAATTCAAGAATTCTTATACTGCCCTCTATAGGCCAGACCTAAAAATGCAGCAAAATATCTGGGGAAAAATAAAATAAAAAACTATTGATAAAGAGGAGATCATTCTAATCAATTTCCTATTCCATACAAAAGTTTTATATGTGGAGACTACCAGTTTACAACATGCTTACCCAATATTAACATCATCCTGGTCAGAAAAGAGACCGCTCCAATGTGCAACATACAATCTTATGACTTCTCATTTTAACAAATAACATTTAGAACTATATAAAGCCGCACAGCCACCTCAAATAAGAGCCACCTCATTTTCAACAGTTTTTGCCATTATGAAAGTATTCTTGTATACCATATAATGAATGTACATATTTCTTTATTTACAGGGTTCTTGGGTTGAATACAGTTAAGCTTCTCTCTTAGGAATAACAATCTAGAAACACATACGGATAGATAATTGCAGGCTTTTTATCCTTTCTGTACCTTATTTTTCTTTTCCTCCCCATTCTCACAGTGGCTATTCTTACTAAGGGCAGATTAATTTATCTCCTTTTACTTCTGGAATTCTGACACGTGTGACAAAGACATGTGACCATGCACATCATCTCAAGGAGGAAAATGCCTTTCCCAGAGATCTCACAAGGTTTTGCAGCTTATAGATGAGATTTCCCACCAAAGCTATGTGATTTAGCATTCCCAGGATGCATCTCCTAGGCACAGGCTACATAACTAATGCCTAAGAGGACCAGAAAGTGCAAAAATAGTAATTGTACATAAAATAAAAATATGTTTAACTAATAAATGTAAGGTGATTTCACATTAGCATGCAGAGCTGAATGCTGATGTGTTTTTCAGTGAAAGGGGTAAAGGTCCCAGCGGTACTAACGCCTTACCAGCTTGAGTCCTTTTTCTTTTGGTTAAATGTAAAGTAAAGTGAAAAGGAATGGAACCCTTACCTTATGGAGATTATCAGGCACAATTGAAGACCATCTGTGCAACTAATAAGCAGAGTCGTCTTTCTAACATGCCACCAAATTATTGCAAGGCACGCTTTTCTTTAACCCATCTAATGGGTAGATTTAGGCTGCCCATACACTGTTAGAATTTAGGCAGATTCACAAGAATTAGTGGAAATTCAAACAGTGGGTGGCCCTGCTGACGCAACTAAAGCTGAATACTCCTTACCATCTTGTCTTGAATTGTATAGTGATTGTAATGTCTTCCTTATATTGTAAAGCACCGCACAAACTGTTGGCGCTATATAAATCCTGTATAATAATAATTACTCAGATGACTTTTGCCTAAGGAGTCAGGCGGAAAGATTTAGGCCTGTGACTGCAGCCAATTAGCAGCGTGAGGGAATCTGAGATTTTTTCTGTTCAGTCCGTTAGTGTATGGCCACTAGACTGAGTATTTCAGTACAAATATGTTAAAACCTTGTAATTGATTTCTGTTATATTTAGTATTTCAAAATAAATTATATGTTAAAACATGGTAAATGCTTTCGATTATAAAACTCAGCTTCCTCGCACTGCAGGAACATGGGAGAAAGATCATGTAAAAGACATTTGATCACTTCTTTACTACAGATTAGGGTATCTGACAAAAAATAACAAAGAGCCTTTTAAGAATTGCTGCTGTTAGTGTTTATTATAGTCTGAATCCCACACACCCTCTGTGCCAACTAGATTTGCTCTGACATTAGGACAAGGGATGCGCCGATACAGAGTTTGTGGGCGAGTAATTGCCCTAATGCGCACGATACTTATTCAGATACCGGTACTTCCGGCATCAGGAAGCCGGGCGGTGAGTCATTACACGCTGCCCGGATTTCTGATTGGCCAGGAAGCAGTCTCCGTGCTACCTCATCCCCTGTTGACGAGGGAGCATGGAGCCGGTTTCCCGGCTAACCAGGAAGCCGGGCAGCGAGCCATCACACATCGGCTGGCTTCCCGAATGGGTGGGAAGCCGGCTCCATGCTTCCTCGTCACCAGCTGAAGAGGGAGCATAGAGCCGGGTTTCCCGGCTAATCAGGAAGCCGGGCAGCGAGTCATCACATGTCGCCCGGCTTCCTTTATGGGACTTCCGGTATCTGTACTCAGTAGCGGCGAGTACCGAAAAAAATAATAATCAGCACTCTATACCGAAAAAACGGTATCAGTGCATCCCTAATTAGGACTTTTAGCAATGAGCCAATACAAATTTCAAAAACGGATAAATGTAACTATTGGAGGAACAAAGAAATTCTTTGCTACATTTAGCTATGTAAATGGTAATTTCTAATGGATGGAAAGCCTCAAGTCGTTACTACTACTTACATTTCCAAAATGATCATTAGCTGTGCTTGTATAAGAAAAATACATACTCCTTAATGCTAAAAAAGGTGCAACATGTTGAGTGGCACAGAAACTAGTTTCCAGATATATCAGAGATCATTCCTGTATAACAAATGAACAGTAAATGAAGTCCAATGCTGCAGTATAGCTGAACCTATGTATGCAGTATAAGCCCTGTGAAAAAACAGCGCCATCCAGTGGCCAGAATTCCAAACTAACGGGATCGAACATTACTAATCTCTAAAAACATGCAGTTCTATCAAATGACTAATCACTTGAGTAGCTGTACTTTTAATCATTAAAACAGCTATTCATGCAATTCTGCTTTGAAAGTAATCAGTTCCAGTTCCTTCAGATCTTGTCTTGACCTAGTTTCATGACTTCATCATAATTCATGAAATGGAGAAAGTGGTCTTTTTACTGCTGGAGAGAGGCGTGATGCTGTTTACACAAACACTCCATAAAATGCAAATATAAGGAAATTATTTCTTACAGCAATCATGCACAGCAAATTTCACTCGTGGCACTGCTCTGAAGTATGGCACCCAGAATATGCAAGACATTTTATACAAGCTTTTTGGACTTACTTTATTGCGTGTTTGGCATATCAAAATATCAATTACAAGCGCAAACCGAGCCAGCAACCAGAGACTACTGAAGACTAGGCTGTAGGACAAAGTAAAAGCTAAGCTTTACCACCTAATGTGAATAATGTTGACACATCGATATTCAATCTTCTTTTTATACTGTTTGATATTTAATAAGTGTTTTGGTATTGCAAGCGTGAGGTGGTGCATTTTAGATGTGTTTTCAATGCGTTGTGCATGTGCCTTTCATCCCAATAGCAAAGTCCCTTTGCTGGAGCACAACTATTTCTTTTTGTTCTAAACGCAGAGATATGAACATAGCCTAAAGAAGAGCAACCAAATAAGACAACCATAAAGAAGAATACTAATCTAAGGGGAAATACAAATTGTTTTACTGTGAAGAGCTTTTAAACCTTAACCAAACATATTGTATTATAACTACTAAATACAAATGAAACCTTTCTTTACAATAGGTAAACGCTGAACACAGTGACGCTCAAAATGTTGTGCCTACACCGACCCCCTTCCAGTGTGGTAGTCAGTTAGGCTCCGTTCACATATAGCGTTTGCGTTTCCCGCGCAGTTTTCAGTGTGGGACGAAAATGCAAAATGTTTTAATCTGCTAGGATTCCGCTCGTTTGCGGCTATTATATAGCCACGAATGTGCGGAATTTGCCATATTATCGCGCTTGTACCATTTTGCGGGCCGCGCGGCTGATGCAAAAGTCTGAACAATGCACATTAAAGTGCATTGTTTTTTTCTGTTTAGAATGGCTCCTGTGTGAATGGAGTCTTAGGGCTGGTCTCCACTGGTGGCAAAAAAGGGCAGATCTCACACTTTTTTCTACCCCTTAAACACCCCAAAACTACTTCGCACAGCCACAATAATGAAAATGTATGGCAAAATATAAACAGTAACCCCCCCCCCAAAAAGAAACCCAGCAGTACCACAATGCAGAAAACCGCATAACAACCTTTAAAGGATGCCAGCCCAAGAGCAGTTACATTAATTTAAAATGTAAGCAACACTTAAAAATGTGGGATGCGTTTTTATAACGCTGAATTGGAGACAATCCCCTAAAACGGTAACAGTTGTGGAGATTTTTTTCTTTTTTTTGCCCTTGATCAAGCCCATTCAGCTATGGCATGAAAAGGTCAAGTGGCCACACACACTGGTCCTAATGAATTCAAATCTTCTATTTGTGGTGTATTTTACATAAAAGGCAATGGGGGGAAGCAGACAAAATGTGGAGCAAATTTGCATTGCAGCCAATCAGCTTCTCTCTCTCATTTTTAAATCTTACCTGACCAAACTGAAGGGAGAAGCCGATTGGTTGCCATGGGCAACTGCTACAGATTCTGTTTGCTCCAGTTTTGATAAATTCCCCCCATTGTGTTTATAGCAGGTGGCAAGTTTTTATTCTAAAAATTAACAACAGAATTCTATTAAAAGGTGAAAAGATGCATGTATCTACTGTTTTATTTGCCAAAGGAGTCTTTATTTTGTTTTATTCACTCTTGTGCGTTGCATACCTCTGCCACACTGCACAGCCAGGAATGTCACTCTACTACCCCACAGTTCAGCTTTTTTGCTTCTTAGGTCACCGGCAAACTAAGTGGAAACAGATAATGATGCTGATTTACTGGCTAGTGTACAGGCTGGAGGTGGACAGGTGACACAGAAAGCTGCATTGCTTACCGTTTGTCCCCAGGCTGGATACGCATAGAAGGAAAAGCATATATTTCACAAGATTGACTGTGCAGAATTGCACATTTGGCAGGCAAAACCGAAGTTACTTATTTAAAAGTGCACTTAGATGTTCCTGAAATCTGCAGTTTTAACTCTGTATGACCAATTCTAGTCCTGAATTAAGAGTAATGTCTGTGTTACACCTATACTCATTGTCCCACGATAGTAGCAAGTACTTGGAATTCACACACCTTACAAAAAGCTGAGGTCCGGATCGTGGGCGCAAACTACTGAAAAAACCCTGACGTGGTGAATGCTCTTAGCCAGTTGATTTTTATCCCTTAGTGACAGCGGGCTCTGCCTATCTAGAAGCAAAGCCAGGTGTACCCACCCCCACCCCCGTTATCAGCACTGGAGGATCGAAGAGGGGGGAATCCCAGCGAGGAGTCAACGCTCACTGCAGGGAGACGATCAGGAAGTGAGCGGATCGGTGCAGGTTTCTGCTCACTTCCGATTAATAGAGCTGTCCTGTGACAGCTTCTTTGTTACAGGTTGGCTCCAACTATGAGGATGAGTGGAAATCACTCACCATATAACTCTCCTTTAAAAATAGCTATCATGAATGATCTCAAAGATGCAGCATACAGTTGAGGACATTTACAAAACAAAGTGTATTTTCCCTTTTGCAGCCAAATTGGGATAACACCTACTTTACATTTGTTATATGTTCTTGTGCACATAGTATAATGTAGCAGCTTACTTTTTTACTCGCTGAAAAATCCTACTTGGCTTTCCTTTCGATGTAATGGTAAAGGAGTCATGGAGTTATGTATTCTAATAATGAACCCTGTCTGTATTGTGCTGGCAGATCTTGTTTCAGATGTAAGCAGATGTGCACAGTCTGGGCTTTATAAAGGGTTATAGATCTGAAGGCTTGGGTGGTACATTGTACGTTAATGCAATGTGCACAGGGACAGGTTTTTTTTTTTGTGTGCAAGCTATTCTAAAAAGAATAGAAGCTTCTTAGGGCCCTTGCACATGCCCACAAGAACATCCTGGTATATTTCTCTTGCCGGCAGTGATGGGTATACTGTACAGCTGTCACTTTTGGCAATTTGACTTCAAAAGGTGAAAATATACTTTAAGAAAATGGAAAAAGAGGCAACTTCTAGAATCTCCATATCAACAAACAAAATGTGAGTATACGGTGCCAGTCGCATATACAAACCTTGAAGACAACTATAATATATCCTAGCACTCATATAACACTATAAAATCCTTCCTAAATAATCCCAATATATTAAAGACAATGTTGTCTTTTAACAGCAGCGGCACTGCATGCCAATAAACCAAAAAGCCATTACAGAAGTATATCGCTGTGTCAGCAGCTCCCACAGTTTGAATAGTGAACAGTGAAATACATCCACAGAGCACTTTAAGGAGAACTAAAGCCAAACCTTTTTTTGGCTTTAGTCCTCTTTTGAGTCAAAAGGAAGACATTTACTAATATACTCCTGTGGCCCAAAGTCGACTACTGCCTGCTATTTGCAGGATCCACCCAGCTGCCTGATTAACAGCTGGCTCTGCCTCTTCAGAGTGGTTACTTGTGCTGTAATAAAATGTTCTGTTTCCTGGTCCTACTGCACAATATGCAATTTTAGCACTGTTGTATAAGAGTCTTTTCATTTGATTGGGATTAGTTAGGTATGGTTTTGTAGTGTTACATAGGGGACAGGAATTTATACGTATATGTTGAGTACACATAAACTACGGAGATGACTGGTGCCAAATAATTACATTTTGTTGGTTGGATATAGAAGTTGTTGTGAGTTTTGGTGTCTGCCCAAGAAAGCTTGGGCATGTTCGTACGATTTAAATGAAGCCCCGAAGTCCCAAGATTTTATCAAATGGTTTCTATAACTTATTTTATTACAAAAATATAAAATTCCCATAAACAAACTAGCTATAAAAAAATGTTAACAATCGACATTGCACTGTGCTAAAGGTATACCAACTGTTCTTTTTAAAAATCATACATTCAATACAAAATATGCGCAGTACAGCCTTAGAGCTGATCTCTAGGCAGATAGGCTTTGTTATTTTATCATTTAATAAACTTTTTATTTTTAGCTTGTTATTTTTGGCTGGAGTTCTGCTAGGAATAACCCGCATGATAACCAACAATATTAATTTACCATGGGGTGCAAATCACACCTGATGACCCCACTCAAACATAACTGAACATGAGTGGGTATTATGTGCCAAGTTTTTCCTTCCATTACTTTGCCTCTCAATACAAAATTTGTAGAAAAAAATGGAACTTGGCTTAAAATTAGTCATCAAGATGCCAAATAAAATAACTAAAAGATAAAAGCAGCAATCTCTCTCTAGAATTTAGAATTGAGCTGTTTGGTCCATTATTAAGTTAAAAAAATACAATGGCCCTGTAACTAACAACAAGGTAGAATCCAGTGTGTGATCAAGTTACGAGGAAGTGATCAACTTTTTGTCAAGGCATTTAGTGCTGCTTTTTAAGAGAGTGCAAGCTGGTCCCAACAAGTAAACACTCCACTGAATGAACCTTCATTAAGAGCCTTTCTTGAAAATATTCAAACAAGAGACTTGGCAAACTCTGAGCAGAATGTGCCAACAAGGAATTTCAATACAGCAAAGTGATTTAATTAGTCCAGACATTACAGCATGCTGGCTCATTAAAAACAGCAAGCTTTCGATCAGACCTTTAATTTAAGATGTAGGGCTAATTGCTACAAAAAGCATTATGTGCAACTCTAAATACTTCTGAATTAACATATGTTTTAGATAGAAAATATAAAATCATTTTTATTGTATTATGTGCCTTCATCATTAACTAATAACTTGAATGTCAGATTCATATGGCTGCATTAAAGCTTCATTGCAATTGCATGTCGATTATAAAAAAATTATCAGGGTTGGAGTTAAGGATTTTAGGGACAATTTATGCAAAAATTTAGGGGGAACAACCATTTAGTCTTGGGATTTACGTGCCCCTGTTATGCACATGCTTAAGTCTTGTGACACCATAATTTCCTCTTGTAAGCTTTACAGATTTCTGTGCCACCCACCTACCAACTAGCAAATAAACCAGTAGTATGGTGGTTCTTTTTAACTGGTCAAAAAAGTAACACAGACTCCTACACAGCTTGAACAGGAATCAGTATTGTCACTTGCCTGGCTATGCCGTTTTACCCTCTGGCAGGTAAAATAGTTTACATATAAGGGTTTCTACTTTGAATTTAGAAGTTTGCCTTAAAGAGGAACTTCACCTGGCACATGGAAAACTAAAAGCAAGCAGCTGCTAATACTTTAGCTGCTGACTTTAAAAAACAAAAAACACATACTTACCAACCCATGGAGTCCAGTACTGTCTTCCTGCAACCTGAAATGTTTTTCTTTTCCCACACTGCCATTTGTCACTTCTTTAGCAGCAATCTTTCATCTGGGAGTCAATGATCACTCTCTGATTACTCAGCCAGCGCCCAAATTACAGATGGCTGCTGAAGCACCACTGCTCATGCGTGGGCTGGTGGACTGTCACCTTGGATTGGGAGTCAGCTGAGTAATCAGGGAGTGACAGTCGGCTCCAAAAAAAATCAAAGATGGCTGCTGAAGTGCCATTGCGTATGCACGGGACGGTGGAATGCCACTTTGGATTAGGGAGCCAGCTGAGTGATCAGAGTGTGCCACTTAGCTCCCAAATCAAAGATGGCTGCGGAAGTGTCCCGAAATGTGTGAGGTGTATCCCAGGATGCTGCAGGTGGGGGTGGGTGGACCAAGCATATGTCATCCATACTTTCACCCCATCTCCCCAGACATAAAAATACCTGCAAATATGTTACAGGGAGTAAGGGTCCACTTTAAGTTCTGGACAATTTTTTTTGGGATATGTAAGGTAAGGGTTAGAAAGTTTGTATGTGTCTGTGACCCTTTGAGATGTTTCCAGCACTTCAGGTCCCTGTAACAATGTTGTCAATTTAACATTGAGAGCGATGTCACACTATTATAACAATTCCGCCTAGAGCCCGGAAATGTGCAACTTTACTACATAATTTTTTTCTCCATAAACAATATTGAGGCAGTTATAGAATCAAGGTGACCCAGCCAACATGACATCACCTAGATAGTGGGAGCCTGTGTGTCCATGAAACATCAGTAATTTTATATTTGTTCAATAAAGTAACTGACATTTTTACTAGAATGCTGACATTTCTCAACTGCTGACCATACACAGGCACTGCACAAAATGTATTCAATTTTGCCTTGTTCATGTGTAGGATGGTGTTGGGATTCAATTATAAAAGTTGGGGACAGTTATAATTTCAAGCAGTCTAAAAACTGGGCAGATTCTATGCTCAGACACATTCAGAAAAAAAATTAAATAATAATAAACCTGATCATTTGGAATTCTGCTATACAAGATACGAGAAAGTTTTGGGTTTTTGGGTTCTAAAAAGCCGTACATGTGTGAAAAAATGAAAGTGAAAAGGAAATGCAAATGTATGATTTCAACTGATCAAATCTTAGTATCCAGTGATTCATGCTATGTAAGTGAGAGTAACCAAACGACCCAAAAGGACAGATGGAAAAAGCGTACCCGACGAGGTGTCGGATGATTTTAGAGCAAAAGACCAACCATCAGGAGTCATAGACGCACAGTGTGGTAAGCGCAGCTCCACTGGCTTCAAGAATTTCAATCCATGGGGTCCACACATTACCAAAGGACTAAGCAGTGTTTCTCCTGCAAACAAAAATCAAAATATGAGAAGCCAGATTTACACTGATGTCAACCATGCAGTTATATATCCTTCTAGAAAATCATCATTAAATGCTTCTAACCTTTCTCCTTATCTAGAGGTGGCAAGATGCTGTTGTCCCTGCAGACCTTAAAGTAGATTTCCTGCTCAACGCCATCGGGGATAGCTCCTTGAGGTATGATGATACTGACCCCCGTCTCTATGGAACTCAGCACACCTCCATTGCTATTAAAGACGCCTCGAGCAGTTGCCACAACAGTGTGGGCATCATCCTCATCATCGTCTTCCAAGGCCGAGGGACTAAAATAGAAATATTTGATAAGAAAAACACAAATAATATCAAGTAAGGAGCTCATTGGATTTCTGAAACAGCTACAAGTATTTTTCAAAGCTTTGTAAAATATATATGTATTGCACAGGATTGTTTTTATTAGGGTTGCACAGATACCAAGTACAGTACTAGGTACAAGTACGAGTACATGTACCGATACTTTTGAGCTCCAAGACTAGACTAGAGAAAAATTACAAAATTAGGAGGCAGCTGTCATTTGTAAGGAGCACACGGAGCTCCTGGGATTTGTACATCTGTTTTAAATGTATGATTTTGGTTTTATAAATATAAAGGGATGCACAGATACCAGTTTTGCAAGTATGAGTACTGGTACTTGCCAAGTACTTACAAGTACGAGTACTGATACATTTTTGTTTATTGTCATGCGACAGTTTTTCTAAAACAATATCAACTAATGATTTCAGGACGGTGGTGGAGAGCCAGGTCCCAGCCGCAACCCTGGTAGTTCTCATGAAAATGCCAAGTATCGGCACTGGTACTCGAAAAGTATCTGTGCATCCCTAGTTTTTATTATTATGCCCAGACATACACTTTAGGTTATTAAACTGCCATGAAGAAAGTGTGAACTTCTTCACCTGACCTATATCTGCTAATAAGCTAATTCAATGGGCTTCCATATAGCTGGAGGACACAGGGCTGCTTTGCTTTTTCTGCCACAACTTAGTCTCAGTGGGATTTCCAGGAGGGAGATATGGGCTTCCATGGTACCCAAGCGGTTTTAAGGACTTGGGTGAATCTGCCAGCACCTACTAACAGTTAAGCAATCAGTTCTGCATAGACTGATTTTTCAAGTGAATAACTTCCCGATTAAAAAGAGTTAGAGCTCTAGGACACAATTTTGACAATCATAGTGAGAAACTCCATGTTGCAAATGCAGCAACTATCTTCAAGTCCCGCTTATTCTTGGAGTGAGAAAAAAAAGCATCTACTTACTGTACAATACAGTTTACATCACATAGACTACAGACTACACAGAACCATCATGCTCCCACAATCAGTTCCTTAAATAATGTACATAACTGGATTCTGGTTCACCTGCTTGTTCTGGAAAATGCTACATTTTAGCAAAGCACTCTTCTAGAAGTAATGATTCATAAACATCTGCTGAGTTCATAAGTATTACTGTATGACTTATGGGCTCATGGTACTATCATTGTAATTTGGATTATTTATAAAGTTAATGCACAACTACCATTAAACGTTGCAAAATGCCGCACTCCACAAAATCTGTACGGGAAGATAAAAGTCTTTATTCACGGAGGAAAAACCCCACACTGACCATAACTCCCCTCCTCAACCGCTAACGTATTTCTGTATTTAGGCTCATGACTTGAGGATTGAGGAGGGGGAGTTATGGGCTTCCATCCTCAACCGCTAACCCATTTCACCCTTTAGGCTTATGACTTGAGGATTGAGGAGGGGTCTCCATCCTCAACCGCTAACCCATTTCACCCTTTAGGCTTATGACTTGAGGATTGAGGAGGGGTCTCCATCCTCAACCGCTAACCCATTTCACCCTTTAGGCTTATGACTTGAGGATTGAGGAGGGGTCTCCATCCTCAACCGCTAACCCATTTCACCCTTTAGGCTTATGACTTGAGGATTGAGGAGGGGTCTCCATCCTCAACCGCTAACCCATTTCACCCTTTAGGCTTATGACTTGAGGATTGAGGAGGGGTCTCCATCCTCAACCGCTAACCCATTTCACCCTTTAGGCTTATGACTTGAGGATTGAGGAGGGGTCTCCATCCTCAACCGCTAACCCATTTCACCCTTTAGGCTTATGACTTGAGGATTGAGGAGGGGTCTCCATCCTCAACCGCTAACCCATTTCACCCTTTAGGCTTATGACTTGAGGATTGAGGAGGGGTCTCCATCCTCAACCGCTAACCCATTTCACCCTTTAGGCTTATGACTTGAGGATTGAGGAGGGGTCTCCATCCTCAACCGCTAACCCATTTCACCCTTTAGGCTTATGACTTGAGGATTGAGGAGGGGAGTTATGGGCAGTGTGTTTTTTGCTCCATGAATAAAGATTTTTTTTATGTAGCAGTAAAGATCTTATGGAATGCGGCATTTTTCAACTTTTTTGCTTGAAGTGAAGACACCCCTGTTGCCTGCACCTGGGACAAAGACAAGTTGAGAAGTCGGATTCAGAATGTGAACGGTGTTTTGTTTTGACTACCATCAAATAAAGCTGAAATACACATACTTGAACTATTTTACTTGTCAAAGAATTTGTAATTTTGTTCAGGAGCAGGAGTGTGATTCACACACTCCTGCTTCACTGGCCAGCCAGACTGATGACATCCAATTCCTGATAATGCAACTTCCAATGCTACCCCGTTTTGTCTAGGCTGCTAACTGCACAATGACTCAGCACAGTCAACTGTCAAATTAGCAGAAAGGTACCACAAGAAGCTGAAAATCCAAACCAGGAAATAGAGGAGTCTTCTTTTCTAGAAAAGTACCATGGAAGATATGTGTGGATCACAGAACTAGCTAAACAGATTTATAAATCTGAAGGAACTAGAACTACGCACTGTGGAGAGGAAAAAAAGGTTCCCTGGGTACTACTCAGGGGGTGGAAGTAGTTTGTCTTTGCATCAATAAGGGAATACTTCTTCAAATGTAAATTTATAAAACAAGCCACTTATATTTGCAACGTAATATTTGAGACAATACCTGACTGGGATTGCTTTAGGCACTGCATTAACATTATTTGGTTGATACTTAGATTTGCTGTCTGTTGGCTTGGATGTGCCATCCATCTCTGGAGAAATAACCACATTGGTGGATTTTAGAATGGGTTGAGGAGAATTCTGGGGCTTGGCGGGCAGTTCTGGCTTTCCTTGTGCTTCATTTGACAGAAGGTTATGGTTGAATTTGGGGCTTTCAAACTTGCGCTCAAAAGGTCTGGCGGAGTTTGTGTAAGGTTTAGGAGTGAATCGGTTGTACGACGGTGTGAAGGTTTTTCCAGTCGGTTCAGTGCCGTTAACAGGATTTTTGTCAGGAAAGCTTTTCTGAGGCAAGAAGTTCGACTGCACTGTGTCCTCTCGGTTAGAAGGTCGGAACAGAGTTGGCTTGGTTTGAGGTGGTGGTGGTTCTGGTTTTGTCACTGTGGAATTTGTGAGCTCCACCGAAACAGAGCTGACTGTAAAAATGAAAAACAAATATTGTACATTATAAATCAAATACCTATAGATGTCATATTTTACTGGCAGAAGCCATGCTTAAATAGCTCACTTTAATCACATGAAATAAGCAAAACATTTTATTTCACCTACAAATAGGTCCAACACAAAGAGACTAAAGCCAGATTTACACTATCACATTGGACTAATGCATGTTAAATGCGTAGGTGCGATGCGGTGCCATATTCTTTTAAATGGCACCCAAATCACAAAGGCAAGGTGCCTGCACTGCAGCACGCTGCAAAGCAGGGACTATCATGTGTTGCGTTCCTGAAAAAGGGCCAGGTGTGGTTTTGGCCATGCTAGGGTGCAGAGAAGGTGACTCAAGAAGATAATGAATAGGGCCATCTAAAATAGGAGGAGCGTGTAAAAATTTACATCACTATAAGCTGGAAATATTGGGCAACTTTGGCTGGCCACTGCCCATGAAATATTTACCCCAGTAGAAACAAAACAACCGAACAGAAGTGTTCAAAGTGTTTCCACTTTTACAGCCAAAATGGGATAACACCTGTTTTATATGCGATACATGTTCCCATTCACATTGCATAAGCTGAAAAAAAAACAACAAATCTAATGTACTGTCAGGATGCGTCTTGCAGTTTAAATTGCTTTTACTCGGGTTAGGGTTTCTTGACTTCTTAAGGGTTCAAATTTCTACTTAATTCTCCTTCCTTGTAATGTTAGGAAGGGGTTAAAAGACTACAACCCTGGCTGCTGCTTTGAAATGTTAATGAGAGAAACACAATCCACAAATTTCAGCCTTAAGTCTTTCTATCAGGGCAGATCACTGTGAGGGTGCTGAGAAAAACCTGGAATCAGCCACAATGACTGCTGCAACAAAACATCTCAAAAAAGGTAAGAAATATATATATGTATTTTCGATATTCCGTGCGAATAGGAACACCAACATATAGTGGGGGTTCTCTCAAATTTAACTGCAAATGTGGAAATACACTTTAAATAACGGTTACTGCACTGTTCAAAAAAAGCATATCAGCAAGCTGAAAAAAATTTTTTTTTTTTTAGTTAGTGGACTTGAGACCCTTAAGAGGCTTACTAAATGTCCTTTAAGAACTTATTTTGATTTTTGGTGGACTCTGGTGAGTGGATCCACTTAATGGTTTCTTACATCCCTTTTGGATGGTGGTGAAATCTACTTCTGTGACCCCCATGATGAGGCCCCTCTTTTCCTTAAAAAATTTTTAGGGTGCTAATAAGGTTATTAAAACCAATTGGTAAAAACATCACATTAAATAAAATTAGATATGCAACTTACCTTCTGTGTGTGGGTGTTTTGCAGGACCTGCGTGATTTACAAGCACTGGAGAAGGCTGGTTGTACTGGGAGTTGGAGGTGACTTGAGGGACTGGATCATAACGTTTTTCACTTATAGGTCTGTCAGGAGAGTCCAAATCTGCAGGCTTTCCCCTGTTAGAATAAACATCAATGAGTGTCTCAGAGAAGAAAAATAAAGCACATATAGAGGGGGACCTAAACCCAAGGATCTAATGGCAACATCTCACTTAGCTGCTAAATAGAGCAGAACTGAGCATTTAGACATCGGCCAAGAATCACTTAAGAAAGTATGAGACCCCATTTATAAGTGAATGCAAACAGGTACCTAGCTTGCCAATATATATGCCAAATGATCAGACCATCAAACTTTTTTTTTTTCTTCTTTTTGCCTGGTCTGCATTCTTGGGACATGGGTTCTCATATTTATTAAGCGAATACTGAATGCCAATGTCTTCAGTTCTCAAGTTCAATCACTGTTCAAACACACACTAAGTGATTCATGTATGACCGGTATTGCCGTATATACATTCACTCAAAACAAGGAACAGCCATCTCCACGCTGTAGAGTGGAGAACAACACAGAATCGGGATGTTAATGCAACAGCACAAACTCGACAAACAAGAGGCAGATGACTTGTTTACTGTCCATTCCAAATGTATGATTTATCTCCTCTGTAAGTCTTTTTTTTCTGCAACATTAAATATAGCAAGAAAGCAAGCAGGAAATCCGTCCAAGTCACAAATGATGCAACTGGGATTCACTCCCAGACACGGACTTATTTATCGTCATTGCTGATGTTCTCAGCAAACTGGACATACAAACAAATGCCAACTGGAACTGGAAGCATCCCAAATAAGAATCCCCAGCTTTATGTGCACTAATGGGGCAAACAATTGTTTAACAGAATTAAAGACATTCCAGGTCTAGATTTGCCAATTGGTTTTCCTCTACGGGTATAAATATATATCAATGTCAACCCAAAATCAGATAATAAGCTGTCTAAAATGACCACATTCACTAGGTGCACATAATGCTGTGGTGAGTCTAAGAGGAATGACAAAGACAGCCTTGTGTTAATGCCAATCTTACCACTTGATGTTCCTTTTCAAGTAGTCATAGCTAGTGTAAGAGCCAAGAAATCTATGCGGTGGCAAAGCAAATGTGATAGAAGAATGAAAGAAAAGGGTCATTCTACCTTTACGTAAATTAAGACTTGCAAGATTTTTTGTTTTCTGCTGAAAATACTTACACAAAGTCTACCTACTGAAGAGTGACAAACGCCTAATCTAAGAAGGTTATTTATGGCAAACATTGAGAAGCAGTGCATTGCTGGCATTAAGAGACAGAAGAGGAAAGAAAAGTGATCCCTACAATCTATTTAGGGAAGACATAGTACATAAGCCACAGTGATCATATAAGCATTGTTATCACACACTGCATTATATAACAAATGATTTTTTTTAATAACATAGTTCAGATAGCACATATAACCAATCACACAAACGCGTTCATTGCTTCCACTTGCATCACAGTGTCCAGATCTAATGACTAATTGCTTGCTAAAGGATGTCTTTTGCTAAGCTTGACATGGATTCTTTCAAGACAAGTCAGACAATGGTGCAAAATTTAGGAAAAATCCAGAAAATGTTTGCAACAATATTTGTATGGCTCTGGCCCATTACTATTCCTGGTAATTATCACATTCAGACAAAACAATCTAAATATGTTGTCTACTTTTACCCAACGCTGAATGGATCACCCCATGGGAATCTTATCTCTCAAGGTCTCCAGTGATGACATCTCCTGCTGGAGTTCCTGGCTTTGCCCTCCCCCCAAAACTGAGTCTTACTCCTTCAGCAGCACGTGGAAATGCTTACATCCTGCTGCACTGTCTTTGAAAAATGAAAGATCCAACAAGAAGAATAATGCTCATAATGGCTAACACCAGCAACCTTGCTGCCATGATTCCTGAGAAATTCAAGAAGCAAAAGGGTGACTTAACATGCCAACATATACCTACAAATGAAATATTTTTTGCTGGACTAATCCTTTAGGGGACTTATTACGTAACCTTTTAAAATTCCACCACAACCTACATGGTGCCACGTAATAAAAGAATGACTACTATAATTAAATTAGAACGATTAGCAAAATTCTAATTGAATGCAGTCAGACACTAGCATTAACACAGCTGTCCCAAGGAGAGTCCCATCTTGAACATAGTTTATTACCTATTGACCCTTCCTGTAGATCAGATATTTTTGAACTTCATCTAACAGGCCAAGCTGTCCATTTAAGTGCCAAGTTAGAGGGTTCAAGACAAACCAGTTAACACGGACAGGGGTACAACAGTCAGCTTTATTCATATGGTTTAAATTATTTTTTCCCCCAAAAAAAAACAGATACTGTAACTGCCTAAAAATGTTAGCTGGAGTTAGGCTGTAATGTGTTTGCCAAAACTTCATCTAAGACCACTCTGTTAACAATGGTGCTGTGTGATTTCACTGCAAAACAAACAGCGTTGTCTCCCTATTAAAGGAAGCAGAAAAATACCAGATCTACTGTCAGGATAAACAGGTAACAAAACAATGTTATGGGGGGACTCAGAAAAGCAAAAAACTGCTGTGTTTTTTGTCACAGACTGTTTCATATATGCCATTTTTAATGTTGTCCATCGTTCCACTTTTTAAATGTGTCCATAGTTCCACTTTAAGAGCTGTATTTAAAAAAAAGTGTTTGCTCTGCCAACATCTCACTTTTAGATTTCCATCGCATTATGAAAACTATGAAATATGTAAAATCCGCGCTTATGGATTAGGAGATTGTATGTATGTATATATATATATAAATAAATAAAGCTGCTGCGCTCATTTACATGCATTATGAAAACTAGATGGACCCTAGGACCATAGGAATTTCCTATGCTACTCAGCTCCATCTAGTGTCCATAATACAATGCAAATACAAAAGTCAGATGTTCGCAGAGCTGTTCACTAAATGTTTTACAATTACAACCCTAACTCTCTTACAGGTGAATATAAAATGTATACCATTAGTAACCTATTTTTTTTTTAAGACACACTGAATCCCTAAAAGCCAAACACTGAGGCATACCACACACACAAACTTCTGCACCCAGCATTTAATCCAAAGGAATAGCAGGCGTGAAAGTGAGTATTAGAATCTAGACGTAATCTCCAAAACAAATTGAAACAATTATTCAAGAGAGGTTTATGAGACAGTACAGGTCATGCAAAAATAAGGCATGTAATAAAGTGCTTTATATGCTTAGGTTATTATCTGAAGTCCATATATTCCTGTCCATTTGTGCCCTACAAATATGTCAGAGATAAAACGTAGGAATAACTTTTTCATGGTACTTATTTACTGTAATCATTTACTCCCTGATTTAACTTAATTAATTTAACTGTATTAAAGAAATGTAGGAGCCAGCCTGTAAAAGAAACCACAACCAGCATTTAAAAATGTTATCTTTGTTACAGATTTACAGTTATTTAAGCAGCCATTTCATTATTGCACTTCAGCAGTAACAATTACTTATAATTAATAGTCTAGCAGGGCAACTGAATATACACTGCAGTGTATAATAGCTTATACAGACTACTATAGTGGGTTTTGTTTTTTTTTTAAATGGAAACTATCTAGGTTTATAATCTTTATTTTAAAAGGAAAAGGAAGGATCCTACACTATAAATTTGGCAAGATAGAAATAATTATAGGTTATCTACTTTAAAGGAGGATTGTAAGTTTGCCAATTAGCCTTCGCCATATTGTGCTTAGAGTATCCATACACCTGCAGTGTACGATTTCATTACAACCTCATGTGACAGCACAACAAGTTAGAGAAGCCCCATCCCAGCACACATTAGATAAGAGCAGAGTCACAAGTACAGCTTTCACACAAGAGGTGCTACGTCTTTCACTGCAAAGGGTCAGGATGTAGGTGCAATGAAGAGGTCAGAGAGAGACAAGTGCAGCATGTCAGAACGTACTTGGAGGGGTAGCTGTTAAAGCTAACTTGGCTCTGAGACTGTCCAGGTTTAGAAGGTTCAGGGAGGATGTTTGCAGGAATTGCAGTAGTGGGCTTTTCAAAGTTTCTACGATCAAAGAAAGACAGCTGCTTCCGATAATATTCCTCGTCTTCTTCAGGATCATAATTGTTAGCACGGACTATATCTTCTGGTGGCTTTACTTGAGGTTTCTGTGGTTCAGGTACTCTGAAACAAATACAACAAACATTGAAATACAAAAATTCTGAGCTTCCTCAACAATTTCCTAGTAGTATTTGAAGACACTAGACTGATATATAGGTAAAAGGCACAGGTAGAATTCTAGCACTAGAAAGAACTATTCCTATCATGTTTGAATGTTCTCAGAGGTAACACTACAGACATTAAAGAAGGCTTTGTTATGTTGCCCATGGCTAATACTGAACCGACAATTGAGGACTGGGTGTGTTCCAGGCCTGTGAAGTTGGAGAAGTGACTATGGAAGATCTTGAACCCTAAAACAACGATCTATATGTATGCATGCAAAACAGTAGTCCTGTAATGGTTTGGGTCTAGACTGTATTTACAGCTCAAATCTCCATACAAGTTAAGGTAGTAGGGCTAAATAACATGGTGGTAAGCAAAGTAAACACTAGAGCTTCCTGAAGAAGTTCTTCACATGTAGGAAAATGGCATCATTAGCACTCCGTGAAGAACTACTTTAGATATCAGAAATATGCATCAGAAACTTCACTCCTCAAAAGGAACATAAAAAAAACCCAGTCCATTATATAAATACAGTATATAAAACAATAGCACCATGTCATGAGCAACTGAATTCACAGCTACCCAAGGCAGAAACATAAGTTTATACAGCAACAGTATAAAATAGAAAAGAGATACTTATCAAGCAAGCATGAACTCCCTTTAATGGATCGTATTCACTTAGCTGGTGGCCAATCCCTCCATAGTTCTCATAAGTCACAGAGGTAAAGAATATCATTAGCAGCAAAAAGTAGAAGCAGTTAAAGCATATGCATGTATGCTTCTTCAGCCACAGTTACATAACACTAAGGTCTCGTTCACACCTAGGCGCATTGCATATGTGTGTCTGTCGCGATTCGCGGTAAAAAAGTTGAGCGAAAAACGCGCGTTTCCGAAGGCTACTTGGCTGTATCCCAATGGAAACGCGCAACAAAACGGCCCAAAGTAGTACCTGTACCTTTTCAGGTGTGGGCCGTTTTGTAGCGCGTTAGGGACGGGCGGAAATACGCCAAGGTGGGAACGAGACCATTGAATACAATGGGATTTATATTTTTGAGCGTTTTGTGGAGCGTTCATCGAGCGTAGAACGCGCTACAAAACGTTCAGGTGTGAACGGGGGCTAACTTTGTGAATACTTCTATATTTCCTCCTTACCTGTAAGTAGACTTTTCTTGATCATAAAGAGGCAGTGGCGCAGCTTTAGATGCAGTAACTGGAACAGTTATAGGTTTGGGTGCAACCTCTGGGGCCTAGAGTGAAAAAAATAAAAAGTGTGTTATAGTAGTAAAAATGAGAACAGATTATCCTACAGAAAAAGGTTGGACAACACAAAAATTCTTCCCGTCTTTGGCAAAAATATTTCGAGTCTCTAAATTTTGTTTTATAAATATTTCCCCATGAAATCTTTCCACAAAGAGAAAATCTGACATGCAGAGCTTTATCATATCAATTTTTATACTGACAACTTATTTTTTTAGGTCTAAAAATAAGGCAAACAATATACAAATGCCAAAACTAAATGTTAGATCCTTATAGTATAACATCTAAAAAGTATTAGATGAGACTAAGCCAAAAACAAAAAAGGAGCCCTCAGGCCAGTAGGGCTGCAACAACTAATCAACATAATCGATGATTGAAAAAGTTGTCAACTTTTTCAAACATCGATTAATCGGCTTCTGATTAGTTGGTCCTGTTCACGGCTCCACACACACTGCGCGCCACACCTCCTCCCCACCTCACGTTTACCGCTGCGAGAGGCCTGCCCGCATCCACGCTCCGCACGCCACACCTCCTCTGTCTCACGCTCACCGCCCACCCACATCGACGATCTTACCGCCGCTGGGATTTGTTGTATTCCTCTATAGCTGGCGGTGTTCTGCATTGTGCTGTATAATGTACTATTGCTGGGTTTTTTAGTCCTCTACAGCCGGTGCCATTCTGCATTCATTGCTGTATAATTTTACACTTTTCATTTCACTATGTTGCAACACTACACTTTTTTTTTTTCTTTTTTACTTCCTCCGCTCCAAGCTTGCTCCTGTGATGGACTACAATCTCACTACAAACTAGTAGTCCCATCACTGGAGCCATTTTTTAAAATGTATTTTATTTTTTATCCGATTAATTGAACTTAATAAATCGGCTAACTAATCGATTTTGAAAATAATTGTTAGCTGCAGCTCTACAGGCCAGTGTAAGACGGTGAATATCTGCTAAAAATGAATATCTATAGTGAATATATTGGGTACCTTTAAAACAGATACATCATTAATGTCCTTGTTCTTTTCTCCTGGAACTGATCTTTTGTTCTCAAACATTTTGACTCTGGTAAGAACAGACTGTGGTTTCATGGCTGGGTCATCTTCTTCACTCACAGAGGCTGGTGCAGGAACAGGCTTACTGTTGGTTGGCAGAAGGTCAGACTTCATCTGAGTTGAAGGAGGAGGCATGGTTTCTCCTCTAGGAGAAAGATCATATTGCCCTTGTTTTGTATTAAATCCCTGGGAAGGACTATGTTCATAGCCTCTTGGATTTTGATCAAAATATGGTTTAGTTTCAGCAGCCCTAGGGGTGGGTACAGAAGGAAAGCTTTGAGGCTCCGGTTTATAACGCATATGCATATCATATTCTGCAGGAGGCGGCTCCTCATAATGTAGCTGGGGTGCTTTGAAGTTTTTAGCTGGTCGAGGTCGATTGTCATAGGCAACAGGAAGAGGCTCTTCAAAACGAGGCTGTTGTGGAAAGTAGCTGCGTTCAAGGCTTTCTTCTGAGTGCTGCCTCACACTGAAGTCCCTATGCTTACCCTCAAACTGCGACCTGGAAGAATACGGCTGCTTATCATCATAATAACCCCACTGATCATCGTAAGTAGGCACATGGTCATCACTATGTATTCGAGGATCATAACCATGAGGGTACGGATCCACATATTCTGAAGCAGATTCAAATCTGTAAGACGCATCATACTCTCTAGTTGTTGGTTTTTCTGCATAGGATGGAAGGGCATCAAAGTTCAGGTTGCTTTCTTTCTCTGGTCTCTGATGGCTCAGCACTTGTTGTTTCATCAAGTAGTTGTGCCTGGGATTATCTTCCATGGGATATGGCTCTTTTCTATAAACCTGCACAATAAAAAGAAAGCTGTGGGTTAATAAACCAGGAAAAAGCACAGGCTAATGGAAAATGAAATCACTTCAAAGCACCAGCCACAAGATGGCAGCAAACATGCAAGTATTTCCATTCTCTAAGAAGGGTGAAGCAGTGCTTGATACATGTTAAATGGAAAAGCATTTCTGAGTCATGTTAGGTTTTCAGCAACTAGATTTTTTGCAACATAAAAGAATATTTATAGCGAATTGATTAGTAAATTAAGTTGGTAAGGAAGACATGCAGTACTGGAAAGCCATGCAAGAAAAAAGCAAAGTAAACCCCAGTTGATTTAGATGCAGCATAGTGAACTGCTCCAAATTTTCAATGTCAATTTATTGACGACCTTTGTTACTGCAGGCACCGGACCAATACACCATCACATTTCAGGTGCCCGCAGTAAGGCAAGGTTAAAGAAGAAGGTGTTAAAGAAAGAAGAATCTCAGATGCAAGTATGACTGGAAGTAGAACAGACTGGTGCAACAATGTAGCACAGGTACCTTTGCTGGTTCTATGTGCACAGGTAAAGATGAAGGCTCTTGGTCTCTTAGCATTATGTGAGCTGCCTCAGTGTTTGGTGATCGCATTGGGCCAGCTTGTGCTTGGTAAGAGCTGTATGGGGCAGGGTTTGGATCCTCCAATCTGACATTATTTAGATTTACATTAGGATTTACAGCAGCGGTTGAAGTTGCAGTGTTTGTTTCAGACGGCAGAGAAAGGTAAGGGGCGGCGGGTAAGGCGTCTGCTTTCTGTGGAGTGTGTAAAATAATGTGTTCACTTTAAACAGCACAAATAAAAAGCAAATATCATTGCAGTCTTGTAGAAAGTGCTTTACAACTACTGATCTATACAGCTACTACTTTTAAACACAAATATACAAAGAGCATAATATAATATAATATATCTAACTGACTAAACTAGGCAAGTATAGCATTGCTTTGGTTTACATGTCTGATATTAAAATATATACAAATACAGTATTTTACATCAATTCCAAAGAACCTGTCAGTAGCTATTTGGTTCCAACAATAGGATCCCTTTTCAAAAACAAAGCATACAAAATAAATTGATTTGACATACAACAGTGTATTGCAAATGTAAATTTAAACACAATTTAATGTCCAACTTTCACTAGACGAATGAGAGCTGTGATCAGGCTTCTCTTCTGCCAATTTCATACGTGACAAACTCCACCACTCTGTCTTGCTCTCGGTTACCTTATATTGTATAAACAGATTTAAAGAAGTCTCCATAATTCTTTCAAATTAACATTAAGTGCTTATGTTGGTCTAAGGATAAAAAGACAGAAAATATACTCACCTAATCCTCAGTACCACCTGGCTGCTAGACTGGACCCCACAGCATCTTCTCCCCAGGCTCCGGTGGTCTAAGGACCTGTGACATCATCATGTCTAATGCAGGTCTATTAGACGTGAGGACACCAATGGACATACCACAGCCAGAAAGGAGGGAGAAGAGTTAAGAGGTCACTGCCAAAGGATCGAGGATCAGGTGAGTGTATCTTCTTTATTTGCACCCCTGGACAAAAATAAGCACTTAACCCTTGCAGTGCGGGGGCAGCCCCACTGCAAGGGTTCGATTAAAAAAACTGGAGTTAAACACTAGCCGAGTTCAGGTTCAATATTGTAAATTGATAAGACAGAAACTAGCAAGGTGAGTTTGGTATCAAATAGAAAGAACAGATAGGAAACCATAAGGAAAATAAACGTGAGTCTACAAAACACACTGGGAGGAATTTATCAAAACTGGAGCAAACACAATCTGGAGCAGTTGCCCAGGGCAACCAATCAGCATCTCTCTACAGTTTGCTCAGGTAAGATTTGAAAAGGAGAGAGAGATACTGATTGGCTGCAGTGCAAATGTGCTCCAGTTTTGATAAATCTGCCTCACTGAAAAATTCAGGTCAGAGCATAATTTATCAGTTTCTAAATGGACAGAGCCATGTTCCCACCTACAACCTATTAGGTTCTTTGCATTTAGCTGATCCTTATAAGAAACCTGTACTGGAGGAGTATGTAGGTTGCCTGTGCTGAACTCTCCTGTTTGAATAACTGATCAGGAACAAGTAAGCACACATTAGGGGATCTCCCGGTTCCACTGACTTTATTAGCTGCATGCTTGTTCTGGGTCAGGGTATCAAAGTACCTGAGGTCAAGAAAGTCCAGCAAACAACATTTTACAGGGAGCCTTCATATTTCTCTTAGTACATGTTTCTAAGAACAGGATCCAGTGGATAACAGTGCCACAATGATACATGAGGATATAAGTCAATCTAAAACAATAATTTTAAACATTGTACTGGACACAACACCTTTTCTTGCTGCAATACTGCATCATGCCTTTCCACAGTGTTTAGCATGGTTCCAGATTGGTGTATTAAATAACAGACCAAACAAGACAAATGGAGTACCATGCATTGCCACTTCAAAAAAGGCAGAGAAAGGGTCATTTTAACTGATAGATTCAATAAGTATTGGATGGTAAGAAACAAACCCTATGTCATTTAGATTTTTAATTTGGTTTACATTTAATAATTCTTCAAGCAAAAGAAGAAAAAAAAACAACAGTGTCAAAAAAGAACATACAGCAAACAAAATAGCTGTTCTAAATGCCAAGTGTCTAACAAAATGAAATACCCCCCAGTCTTGGAATATTTAGGGTTCATTCACACCAGTGCATCTGTGGTAACACTCGTTGGCACCCTGAGGTACCTGCGGTAAGTATTGCTCAACGCACAATCGTGCAATGCAGTGCACTGGAGAAAATGGTGCATGCACAGTTTTTGGTCCTTTAGGCAGGCCATTTAAATAGTGTGCCTTAATGCAACACATGTTACTGCACCACAACAGACCCAAGTGGTGTGAGTAGGCCTCAGCCATGAAAATCCTATGCAACATCAGATGTTTAAAATACAAAGAACGTATCCCTTTCATGACCTACCCACCATTATAAGCAGACTTACCCTTAGTCATAACCTATTTGAGTGAGAAAATACTAAAAGACGCAACAAAACCTTGCCAGCATCTATTTAGGAAATCCTGGACTCGCACATCATGATGAAATTGGCTTCAAGTAATAATAGATGCTTTAAATATTAGCTACCTGGGTAAATATACTTTTGGATGAATCATGGCCTATGTCTGAGCAAACACAGCTGTGAACCTTGGGAAAGGGCCCACAAAATGTATAGCCATCAGTATACTAATAACTTGGTAAGAAGCTCTCATGTTAAGAAAATTGCTCTTTTTAGATTCTTTAAATATAAAAAGAAGATGCAACATACTTCCTACACAAAAGGCCCACTTGTGCATTAAACAGAATAGTAAGACTTTCCTTCATATATATAACTTACTAAAGTAAAAAGGAGCATGCACAAAAGCTAGCTGGACCTACCTGTTGAGATGGAACATTTTTAAATCCCGGAGAATCAGTTCTGATGATTGGCTGTGGATGCTGAGGGTAAGATGGGAAGGCTTGGTTTTCCTGATGTATTCCCGAATTGTCATCCCGGACAGGTTCAGAAGAGCGAGTAATGGCAGACTCTGGCGGAGTCCCTGCCTCGTCATTGAGCGTCTCATCCAGGTCTTGGTCAGTGTAAGCCCCTCCTTCAGTGTCTGTATCTTCATAGTCTGAAGTGTGCCTGCTATCAGTACTATACATTGAGTACTCACTACCTGGAGCTGATAAGTAGGATAGACGGTCGTCATGCAAATCAAGATCATCATCTGTGCCACCTTCTGCCTGCACCGAATGAAGTCAAGTTAGACCAGGTTAGTAATTCTACATCTGGAATCTTTGCTGGAGAAGTCCAGGATTTTATTTACTTTATATATAACTTGCTAAAATCCACACGATTGTCTGGACATCTTGCCCACTAATGCATATACTGCAAACTATACACTGTTCTCACTATTATTCCCACAAACCACGGCTACATAGTGTTTTATTGTATGTATAGATTTTGGAACATATGCTGGTTCTAAATGTTGAAAACAGTTGCTAAACACACAGAAATAAGTCCTTTCAAATATTTAAACACCTTCAGCAAGACAGTGTTAAAAAGTAAAAACAAAAAAAAACACTTAAGTGTCAGTTGTACTGTGCATCACATCTAAATCAAAGGCCAAATGAGCGGTTTCATACATTTGCAGCTTCTGTAACGTGAATTCCAGGCACTGCATTCTAGTGAGTATGCTGAAAACATCGCCACAAACTCATGCACTGATATACTAAAACTGAGAGAAAATCTTACTTTGCCTTCCGAAACCCAAACCAGCTGGTTCTGTTGTTGCTGTACAGCTTCCTTCAGTGCTCCATACCAGCCATCATTCATAGAATTGAGATTAATGTTTGCTGTCAAACAAGATGTGTTTAATTAAAATATATGCCTGTTTTGAACCCGTTATCTTGGCAAGGACATTATTACAAAGCACAAAAGATGTAACTCAATATAAGAGAGAGAAAGTACAACATGTAGCAAATAACTGCAGAAACAAATATCAGTGATTTAATAGATAGATTTTTAATAAAACAAATGATAAAACATTTTTATATTTCCATAAATCATAGGATTTGTAAATATTTTCATATAGCCCACCTTTGTAGGTATAATGGGACCCGTGTACAAAGCACACTAGAAATTGTTTCAGGTAATTCCTATACATTGTTATAAGCACGTCGGCTGGATTTAAGAGAGAACTATGGGGTAACCTTTTTATCCCATAGTTCTCTTTAGGGTCACAGGAGGACATATACTAACGCCCTCCCGTGACCCAAAGCTCAGTATACAGCGGGCTATTGCCCGCTATATACTGAGAGCGCTGCAGCCGGGATGGATCCCGACAGTACTGTTGAGATCCACCCAGCTGGCTGATTGACAGCGGGCTCTGCCTATCTAAAGGCAGAGCCCGCCCCCCACCCCGTCCGTTTCTCCAGTGACCACTGGAGGATCAGAGAGGGGAGGGGGGACCATGTGGGGAGCGGTGACTGGCAGTCACCGATCTCTGCAGGGAGATAATCAGGAAGTGAGGGAGCGACAGTATATGTTCACTCACTTACCAAATCGACGTGTGACAGTTTCAATGTCACAGGTCGGCTCTATCTATGAGGATGAGTGGAAATCACTCACCTCATAGTTCTCTTTTAAAAGAAACCTCCCCAGATAGCAATACGGGTATTGCCTTGCCACGGGTGATGGAAAGTACAGAGTTGTCATCCTTATCCTTGTTTTACACTACCTGACCTGGGACAAAGATGTTCATATCAGGTGTCTGACACATCACTGGTTGCATACCCGTCTGTAAATCACCATGCAATGAAGTGAGGATGACAGGCATGGAGCAGGCACCCTAAGAATAAGTCAGCAACTAAGCCATATTTTAAAGGAGAACTATGAGGTCAGGGCTTTTCCCCATAGGTCTCCTTAGGGTAACGGGAGGACACAAACTAGCGTCCTCCCGTCACCCTAAGCTGCAGCTCGCGGTATACTGAGACGCCGCAGCTGAAGCGGATCCCGACAATTATGTCTGGATCCGCCCAGCTGCGTGAGTGACAACTGGCTCTGCCTATCTAGAGGCAGAGCCAGCTGTGCCCGCCCGCTCCCCCGTCCGTTCCGCCAGTCAGCGCTGGAGGATCGGAGCAGGGAGGGGGGAATCCAGCCCCTCCCCTGTCACGGCAGAGAGCTGTGACAGGATCGAGAAGTGAGCGAACGCCGGTATGTGTTCGCTCACCTCCCGATCTACTGAGCCGACCTGTGACAGTCTCATTGTCACAAGTCGGCTAGAACTATGAGGTGAGTGAAAAGCACTCATCTCATAGTTCTCCTTTAAGAAACCTCACATTTTAAGGGGGCCATGTAGAATAATTTCCCTAAATTGTTGAATGTTCCTTTCGATAAAAATGCAGGGCTGCATTAGAAAGCCTAGGTGCTGTCATGCTGTAAATATCAAGCTGGGGTACCTTTGGTTTTACTGAAGAAAGTTTGAGCTCACACACTTTATAATGGGCATAAGATACAATTGGATAAAGCAGAAAACTGCAATCAGGTTGTAATGTTCTTATTGGCATTACGTAGGATGGATTCACATTTCTCTTAGCTGTTGTGGTGCAGTAATGAGCAACATGTCGTGCATCAATTTGCGCTGCATTAAGGCAGGCAATTCATTATTAACATTGCACCACAAAGCATATGCATTGTAGTGTGCTGCATTGCAGGAGTGTTACCCGTTACGGTAACAGTGTGCTGGGGGTGACATTTAAAATAAATGGTATTGGAACGCAATGACTGCACGTGTGCATTACTATGTGCAATACGTGAATGGGCCCTTACAGAAATGCAATACGTTATAGGGTTGGTTTTTTTTTCCATTTCTTTCAACATGTCCTACTTTAAGGTTTAGAATATTCACAGCATCTGCAAATCTTTCAAATGGCTATAAAACTCTTGCAGAGTTTATCTTGTACTTACTTGTAAAAAGGTGATGATTATTTTTGCGTAGTTTATGTGAACGTTCATAAAGTTTTCGGGCACTTTTGCGAGATTCTGGGCACAACCTCGTTCGCATAGTTTTCACACCCTGCTTGGAGTCAGGGTTAAGGAACACTACAATTGGATACCACTGTGCATAGTTCAGGCGATCTACAGCATTTGGAGTAACATCCAGAAGTGCATGTTTATCCTGTAGAAACAATAGCACTGCATGAATTTACCAATCCCAGCAGAATACAACTACATGAACAGGTACGGCAATGGTATAGTTCGCTCCCAGACAATATGCGTCATAAACACATAAGGATTTCCAGTTATTGCCTTTACCTCTGAGCTGGCATTTGAAAAAACACAGGTAAATGTATACAAGGCACTAGGCTAGCAAGGGAATCTTAATACAATCCGATTTCTTTACAGCATCTGATAAAATGTTAAAATCAATCGCTGTTAGATTTAAATGCCTAATCAGCTAGCATCAATCTTACACAGGCATTAGTCAAACTGTCCACTTCATTTGAAAGATGACCAACTCGGGCTATTTTTCAAAACATCCCATTGTATTAATCACTCACCCTGTCAATAATCTGTTTGATTGTGTGGAGACGAATGATCCCAGAGCTGCGCTGGTCGGTACCTGCATCTCTCGGCTCACTTCCTACAGAAAAACACAGGGGACATTGAATAAGTAGGTAACAGATATAATACCTATTTCTGGATGGTAAAGTTGTGGATTGAAACAGTTAAATTTTTTTTGCTCCCTATAAGAACAGGACAACAGATCATAACATACGAATTAGTCTCCCATTTTCCGATCACCCAAAAAAACATACAAAAAGATGAGGATGTTTTTAGAAATGTTAAGGAGCACCTGAAGGGTAAATGTAGTATGGATAAAATGTTAATAGGATAGTATACCTTAAAGAGACTATGTCACCTGCCTATTTAGGGTTCAAAAGACGGGTCAGTAGACTTACACCCAGTCGAGTGCTCATTTACTTCATATTATTCATTGTGTAACTTTTCTTCAAATCATATTAACTGCAAAGTGAGTCATGATTGGACTTTTTGTGATTGGTGGTCATGAGATCTCAGTGTCATCCACATTGAATCACATTTCCTAATGCATGCTTATGCAAAGACAAACACTACGGTAACATTTGTGGCACTGGGAATTTATGGGAGCCATTGCTAGTTTAATAGGACACCAATAACTAAATATCTCAATAGAAGAAAAAAATGGAGTGTGTTGAAACTGTATCAACGAAAAACCAAACTTACTTGCCACCTCATAAATATCAGGCTCTTCTCTTGCCACCTTCTCTCGTGCAACATCAGCGATGGGACCAAAGATAACAACAGGCCTGAGGAATCCAGCTGGAGGAGACAAAATTCTTATTAACCAATACATTTTGATCACTGAAATTCAGTATGTTGAATAGAAACTCTAAGGGCTAGTTGACACCATAACTGCGTGCGTCTGGACAGCGGCAATTTATGTTTTGAAGCGTTCCGTTGCGATCAGGTGCAGCTAACATGTGGCAAGCAGGATTTTTTTTGACTGCATCGGAACTAACTGCAATGGTGTGAACAGAGCACCAGAAAATCCCATAGGAAAGCATTGTGATGCCATTTTGATGCAGCTGCCAAACTGAACAGATTGCATCACAACTGCACCTGGTGTGAACTAGCCCTGAGACAGTTAAAAGTACATAAAAATCTTCTGTAACCTCGTATTTAAAACAAGGAATTTATATTGAACCACACCATTCAAAAACAAAAAAAAACAAATGTGCTAAAATGGACCCAAGATAAATTTTCAGCTTGCCCACCTGGTTCTGCTCACTATTCAATAGCAATGTAGGAGTTGAAATGCTTGCCTACAAAAGGCAAGTGTTTTATCCTGCAGTCCAAACCTTCCAGGCTGCTTCCTAGTGAAAAGGATCCACATCAAAGGCTAGTGATCAGTTGCTCAGCACAGACAGTCAGTACCTCTGCCTCATGCAGATCCTGCCTCACATAGCAGCCATGAAGGACCAAGTATCTGGAGAACGAAGGAAACCCATGCCGTCCGTCACATGTACTTCATAGTTATATAGTAAATAAGAATGAAAATAAGACAAAGGTCCATCAAGTTCAACCTCTGTATGTGTGCTAGTTCATTGTGTTTAAAAAAACAACCGTGTTTCACGTCAAGGAAACTGATCATTTTTTATGGAATGCAGGCATCAATAAAATGACAAGCGAGGAACAACATACCTTCTCGCAAAACGACTCTTTCGTATGCAGGAAACTTTGTTTGGACAGGCTGGGCAGAGAGATCTTCTCGGCTTTTCCTGAGATTTCGCTTAGAAGTTCGGAGGCCTCGAAAACGCCAAAAATCAGCACGATCACCACCAGCAGTTTTGGGAAGAGTGTACTGCACACTTGCAAGCTGCTCAGCTCTAAGAAAAGAATAGAAGATACAAATGGCAACAGTCAGAAAACCATGGGAAATATGGTACAGCATTAAACTGTAGTACATCATTTTTGCAAATGCTCATTATTGCTCAGGATATAAGACACAAGCTGCCAGAGACCACACAAGACACTTCGATCAGTCACATCACTTGTGAATTTCAGGAAGATGCTTAACTGTATTTTACCAGCATAATGAAGTAGTTTACTTTGATGAAATTGTGGGATAACAACGAGGTTGCCTTTGATCAAACTATGAGCAACAGTACTAATTTTTGGCCACAAAATCTCATACTTCAAAATTTCTCACCCATGGCTTTCTGCTGAACAGTTCTACTATAAGCTGATGGTCGCTAAAGCGACCATCAGCTTATAGTAGAACTGTAAATGCCAGGTCCGTACGACGTACTGAGCTGGCCAGCTGGAAGCACTTTTGTAGCTCCGTACGACGTACGTCCTTGGCAGCGAAAGGGTTAAAGTAGCTGCCATTCCCTGAAATTAAACCTAACTGTAAATTCTTAATAAAATCGTAGTGTATAGGTTTATGGAAAATGCTTTCAAAATAAAAGATATTTGGCCAGTCAGGTCATGCCCACACATCCAATGGAACCTTTGATGTCCGTAGACAGCATAGAGCGTTTTATACTTTATAAGCAATAACATTGATAGGATATTTCCTATTAATATTAGAATACAGCTGGTCATCACTAGATTAATAAATTGTATATTCCAGATTGAAGTGTGTTCAATA